AGGTTGTGCAAGAAACTGTCTATTATTTCGAAGAAAGAACCAAACGGACTTCCAAGCCCGCTTCTCAAGTCACTTATGAAACTACGACTTTAATCTCGTAATTATTACTTTATTCTCGTAACTATGACTTTATTCTCGTATTATTACGACTTTATTCTCGAAATCTCTCTGTTTTTTTTTTTCTAAGTGTAGCCCTAATATTCCGTCGTACATTTCAATGTACCCTTTGGCCATGAGTTGCACAGCAGCAATGACAGTGAGATTTGTCAATATCCACAGCTGTCATTGGGATTACATTATGCTTGGTTGCCAATAATCGTATTACCATCACCCTGTATTTACCTGATCACTAATTCAATTATTGAAGATTTCCAATAAGATCAACAATTAATACAAATAATACAACTTGTTGGAATAACATAATTTGTATTACGTCCATGTGTATAATGCGTCATAAACATAGTTCAAATGCATTACAATGATTAATCATAACACATTATCAAGCATTTTATTATGACTGATAAAGTCAAGAATCATACTACACAGAATTGTAACTCATTGACATTTTTTTGCAGTAATCTTATTTGATTATGATTCCAATAGTAGTTATACATTATAATCTTGTTTCATAATTCATTATGCATTACTTTCCTGAGGTGTAACACAGGTATAATACATCAACAGCTGGTTATTAGCCATTTTTGTGCTCATTGTTTTTTTTAAGTAAAATGAAAAGAATAATAAATCTAAAATGTTGGGGAATAACCAGCATGTATAACATAATATGAAACTTGAACTAATATTCATTATAAAAACAATTAAAGGTTGTTAAAAGGATAACTAGAGAAAATCACAGCTTTATAAAATGAATCCTAAAGGTTCATTTTGTATGGCAGTTAGAAGATGGGATGAGATGCGGTTTGAAGAGAAATGCTTCCTCCAGTAGGGCCATGCGGCACTGAAGACGGCACTAAAACAAAAGACCTCTTTGAGTGGAAAACAATCCCACCCAGAACTTAAATCTGCTATCACATGCTCAACTGTCCAGACTCCTGTGGAGCTTTAAATCACTGCATGCATTATTACCTGCATGAATATTTATTAACATGTGTCACTTGGTATGGCGCTCCCACACATTCACAACTGGCAGTGCAATTGAAAGTGACCACAGCAGAAGATTTATGTCAATAGGCCAGTATGCATTCACTGCAGAGCAATTCCTCAGTGCGGGAAGTGTTACTACATTTCACATCTTCCCCCCCGCGTCCAGACCTGGATGGCATTAAACTCACTAAGGGACCAGGATTCATTACCATTAAATCTCCCTCAGAGGTTATAGGCTAAGGAAATGTGACATTGTCCATGAAATTGAAACAGCTGCCTGCCTAATCAATCACAGTGATGGTTAATGTGCATGACTCCCACCAGTGCAGAGCAGAGCACGAGCAGCAACAGCAGATATTCCTGCAACTTTTTAATTCACGGCATATCCATATTTCATTGCCTACTGATGTCCCCGAGGATAAACAATCTGGAACAACGAGAACCACAAATATCTGCTGTATTGAGCAAGAGGGTTGACTGATGGCGTGGTCGATGAAAATGATCACGCAAATACCATTTTAAATTACAACACAAGCACATTTTTCCTCCTGGATATTGATGTATCTAAATGAATGCATTCGGAAAAAAAAGACATGAAAAGTCAATTAAATTATATTGTGTGATATCAGGAAAGTTTGCATTTTAACTCATTTTTATGTACATGTACATACCTGATTATTTATTTTACAGATACAGATGCAGACGGCAATATCTGTGCATGTTTCACATTGTTTTTAATTCTTCTAGTTTTCTTTATTTTATTTTTGCATATCAAAGTCAAAGTCAGCTTTATTGTCAAAATGTCTACATGTGTTATACATACAGAAATCTAAAAATAAAGGAGTTACCTGTGGAGAATATACTACTACTCTACGTGTGAAAATAGTTTCCTGTTTTATGTTGAAATAAATCAAGAGTATAATTATATCAACTCTGAATTAAAATGATTTTTAGACACTTTTAGAATCAGGCTTATGTGCTTTCTAGTTGAAAGTTAGCCAAGGCGATTAACAGCACTCTCATATCTGTACGGTAAATATGAAGCTCCAACCAGGAGACGGTTAGCTTAGCTTAGCATAAAGAGTGGAAACAAGGGGAAACAGCTAGCATGGCTCTGCCCAAAGGGAACAATACACACTAGAACCTCCTTCCCTCATTATTAACAGTGTTAGGGAATAGCTAGAGTTAGGTTAGTAAATGACAAAATATATTTAATGTAATCAGTTACAGTAACTGAGTTACCTTTGAAAAGCTAAATGTAACATTCTGTTGCTCTGTTCCAATAGATGATAGGTTAAAACACTTAATAGAAATGTTATCAAGTTACATTAATTCTTTGAAGTTATTGAAATAGTTATTATACTATATTCATAATAATAAGGCAGCAAGCAATCCGTACATTTAAAAAATACACCTTCCCAACACTGATATATACCCATTTGTTTGTCTAATCCAGACTATTTGTTGTTGTGTTGTTATTATTTCCCTTTTTACAAGAAAGCAGATACAATTATTTCCAAAAATCTCCTTCGATCAATGGTGTATGATGATAAATGAGTGCATACTGTGTGTTATTGAACTATTTATCTGGATATCTACATGCTAACCACGTCCTTAATGAATCACTCCTGATTAATCTGGTGCTAAATGACACTTAGCCAATAATTAATTATTAATTCCTTGTCACATTCATATGTGTTGCATGTGCAAACTATTCAGGGAAATGATTTTTGTGGACGGTGGGGTATTTATTCAACATTAGTATGACACGTATGTGATGGTACGGGATAACAGCCATTTTGAGGGTGAAGTAAGGTCCCTAATATAAAAATGCTATCACTTAGCCTTCACCAGTGTCAATGTGCATCAGCAGGCACTGTGATTTCTTCACTATCCCTCAAAACAATCATCAATGGAGATGTCAGACAAATGGTACATATGGGCAAAGATGTGAAATAGCTCACTAATGAACCCTTGAAAATATATCACACAAATGTATTTACAGCAAGAAAGCACTAAGTAGTATATTCGCTTTTAGAGGTACAAATGTGACAATATTAAAGGGGCTCAATTCTGCAAATGTTCAGGTTTCATAATCGTATTTTGAGAAACTTCCTCTGTAGGGAATTTGGGGATTTTAACCTTTGCAGACCATTTACATGCACAGAAACCTATACACACTACAGGAAAGGGAATCACAATAGGGCCCCCTTTAAGATAACCTGGTACAAACAATGTTCAGGAAATGTGTTTGAAGGTTGCTGTAAGTTTAGTATTAAAGGGAGTAAAGTAAAAAAATACTCACAGCTTTCAATCTCCAGGGTGCAGTTCTGTTCATCAAGAGGGTACCTCCTCAGATCCATCATGCATGCAGCGGTGGTGGTTATTCTATGAAAAACAGACAGAAACACAGAAAATATTTCAGTTATATTGTAAAGATGTGGATACACACGAGTTGTACGTAATGTTTTCCTACAAGTGAAAGAAATGGTTGAGAGAAAAGTCATGGTGTTTGAGAGATGTACCAGTGGCTGCCAGAACAAGCTTCAAGGGGGCCCCCCAAGGGTGTGTGCTCAGTCCCCTGGCCTTCCATGCTGTAAAGGGATCTGCTCCATCCTACATCCAAGACATGGTCAAACCATACGCTCCAGCATGTGCACTTCGTTCTGCATTGGCTAATCGGCTAGCTACTACCTCACTCCGAAGTGGATCCAGGTACACGTCAACAAAGACACACCTGTTTGCTATCCTGGCTCCCAAATGGTGGAACGAGCTTCCCACTGATATCAGGACAGCGGAGAGTCTACATATCTTCCGTCGCAAATTGAAGACCCACCTGTTTAGTTTATACCTTGGCGAGGAATCACAAAAAAACAAAAAACCGCACTTAAGATTTGTGCTTATGCACTACCACTTACAATGATATTGCTTGTTTGAAGTAAAGTTATCAGCACTGTTCTTGTTGTCCTTAGTTTGAATCCTATGTAATGTACTTGAACATGTTGCACAATATGATGAACTACCAGTATGTCCATCACTAAATACAGTTGCAGAGTAATTATCTTGTAGCTGCAGCACTCACAGCTAATACGATGTTTCATAATAAAACATAAGTGGGTTTGAATGTATGTAACGGTGTAGTTCAGGGTCATGGGAGCTGGGCAGTGCCTGTTTACTTGTGGAAAACCGTTGCTCTCCTAACTACAAATCTTTTTGAGGGGAGTTTCTGCAGTATTTTTCCTCTTCATGCAGAGACTCTTAAATATGATTTATCCTTCATGTTTCTGTGAGTAGTCTGGAGAAGTATTTCCTTTTATATGGATCACTAACTGCTCAGCATCTGCGGTTTTGTCAATGCACGTTATTTATTGCTCGTTCCAAGATATGCATTTCTGCCAGGTAGCTTTGTAAAATATGTATGCATTGCAGTTTATTAATATCAATAAATCCAGTAGCCCAGGAAAAACAGCTTTGGCTACAAATTACACATGTAGGGGTCTCTGGCATATAACTGAAATATTAACCGCTGCAGCACATTTTAGTGATGACATCTCTGCTGTTTGAACCAGCTGCTATGTGTTCATCATACTAGCTTGCTGCCCTCCTGTGTAAATGAAATACAAAAATAAATTTTCAGCTCATCATCTCGGTGTCAGAAGCCACCGGCACACTCCCCCGAGAACGTGCCAGCGGCTTCTGACACAGGAGCCTGATGATTGTTTTTTTATCTTCACATTTGGTTACATTATCAATCATGTTAAAGCCAAATCTTTCTAATGCCGCTTTAGTGTGTGTCTGTCCGTTGATGCAGCAAGCAAGCCTGCACAAGCATCTACAGTAGAATTAGTAATATAGTAGATAATAAGCCGTTTGCATTGGAAATATATTGCTTGGGTTTGTAAATTGGTCATGGTGGGTGAACAGAGTGCTGTCGGCGGGTAATTGGAAAACAAAATATGTCCTGCTAAAGCTGATTGGGCCAGATTAACACACAAGCATGTGGGGCCTCTAGCTCCATGATAGCAGAAGGGTGAAGAAAATAATGCATGAACAAAATGTGTCAGGTATTTATGTATTATTCACAATGACACTGAGCTGCATTCTGCTGCACAAGCATTAAGCTGCTCACACTGCATTGTGCTCCGCTCTACTGTACTGCACCCCCCCGCTGCCTCGGCGCTCAGCGTACAGCAGGGCTGCTCCTCACACACTGCGAGGAGGCAACATCCTGCTTTATTACAATAATAGGGGAGGTCACTTGGAAATCATGATTTTCCAGGAAAGAAAACTGCAGAATGTCTTTTCCATAATTAGATGGAGGGAGACTAGGAGCGATTATCGGCAGTTTGATACAAATAGTTAAGAGAGCTACTGTGCAGACAAAGACATACACACAGAAATCTCTAATGTGAAAATGTAATGGTTCTAATTTTAGCAATACATCTGTATGTCTTTATGAAGATACGATAAGTAAGTACGATAAGTACGATAAGTAAGCTACGATAAGTCGATTTATGAAATAGTCGATCGACAGAAAAATTATCGCAAACCATTTTCATATAATCTGTGGGAGATCTTTTGTGCGAGGAGGTCAGAAAATGTTGTTCTCTGCCTCTCAAATAAGGAGACTTTTTATATCGATGGGTTTTGGACTGATGAAATAAGACATTTACAAATGTTTTCCTCTGTTTATTAAACCAATACATGAGTTAAAAAGATACATTGAAATAGACGTTTTTCACTATTTCCTCACATTTCATAAACCAAACAAATAAATGATTGATTGAGAAATTAATTCGCAGAATAATTGATAATGACAATAAGCATTAGTTGCACAACTTAACCCTTCTTTTACATTAAGAAGTTGATTGAGAAATTACATTTGTACGCCTAATTATATAAGCCGAGCCCATATGTCTGAAGACCACTGCACTATAGAAACATAGTTCTAATACATTATAACCACAGCCTTTTTACAAATCTACCAAAAGACCTTGGCTCCAAAAAATTAGACGTAAAACCAAAACATCACCAAAAGAAAAGTGTGTGCCATAGTGGCACGCAGTGACAAAATGGAACAAACTAAAATATGGAGAGACAAAAAACCTGCGGTCTGAAACGTAAAGCGGCACAAACTCTGGTATCCTGTGAGATCATACTCGGGAAGACGAGTCCTGACAGACTCAGCTACTGCTGTTAGAGACAGACAGAACCCCTGGCAGCACAGCGCAGCAGTGAAACCTGCAGCAGCTCCGAGTAAGGGACAGGAATGAATATTTCACCCCCTGGCAGAGAGAGGGGGAATAACCTGGGACGAATAAAGTTGACTTCATATGTGACAGTTAACAAGTAAGGAGAGAATCTTCATTGAGTAGGCACAAGTTGGGACGGCTCACAGCGAGAGCCTGGGATTTGGAAATGTCAGCAGATGTAGGTCAGCAACTTCCTGTCCTGAGAGAGAGCAGCAGCCTCAGACCTGAGCGCTGAACCCCCCCCCCCCCCACTCACTGCTTACTCTACACCATACGGAATATTAGCTGGTTTGTATTGCTTTGTAATTATCACTAAGCATGGACGGATTATGAGAGAATGGGTCTCTTAGCACAGTAATACAAAGGTTTGGTTTTTTATGCATGATTCTTAGTTAATATGAAGCTGTCTTTGGATCTTTTCTGCTGTATATAATATGTGGTCAATGTGTGTCCCTTTGATTGACATTTTGTGTGTGAAGGGCGGGGGAACCCCTAACCCACAGCACCTCATTATCCAGAATCACTGCTGCAAATGTGACTTGTTAAATGTCATTAAAAATGCATATGCTAAACCAAAGCTAAGAGCTTACTAGTAGGTGTAGCGTCTGAGGAAGTAAAACACATTTGAATCCACAACAAGGTGCATTCCACTCACTTCTAAAGGCCAGTCTTGTCTTTTCAGACCATGTATCGTGCCAGCATACGTGACGACTAAAAGCAATCTGGAGGAGGATCCCAGAGGCTCAGCACTACAGACAAGAGGCTTTCAGATATATGAGCAATAGTTTTGACACCTACACAGTCTACTCCTGTATCCTTATCTGTGAGGCAGTTTGCTTACCAAAGGATATCATAGTACTACACCATGGTTTAATAAACAGAGGAACACAAGATGGGAAGAAAGAAATCATAATCAGGACAAGGCTTCAATGGTCTTAGGAATCTGCGCTCTATTGTCAGTGTGCTTACGATGAAGTTAGACAAAAGAAAAGCTGAGTGATCATGCACACAGGCCTGGACACTTTCTACTGACACACACTTCTTTTATTGATGTTTCAAATGACTTTGTTGCTACACCCACACACTCTCCTGCACCACTCAGTAGTCTTCAGACCCTTCCTCTACACATGATTCAAAATCTATAGTGTATCTCAAGTTTACAAAAATAACAAATTGAACAATGCTTGCAAAAACAACATTTACTCAAGGAACACGATTGTGGGCAGTTTCCCTGATTTGATTTGAATGTTGGACCTACAGTGCAGTGTCGTAACTCCATTTGATTATCGCAGTTTAAAGTCACTCCTAGGGAAAGGAATTATGGGCAGACAAATGCACATTCATGAACCATGGTTAAAATTTCCAATCTATTTGATACACGGATGTAAATATGCTCCATTACAACTAAAAGTTCAAAGGTACAACATTTAGTGTCAGAAAAATGTTCTTAAAGATCAAAAATATAAGAGCTTGTTTTGCAACAAATGTCCCAACGGTTTTTCAGCATTTTACTTTTGTGGTGGAGCTAGTTTGAATGACTTGATATGCATTAAAGCAGTTCGATCCAGCGCTACCCTGCCTTGGAGTCAGACCCTTCTAAAGGGGTCAAAAGATACATCTGAGGGAGATGAAGGGTTAACAAGAACATTTATTTTGATCTAAACATTTTGGATGTTTCTTTGTCCTTGTTAAATGATATAAAGGAAGTAGGGTCATATTCTCATAGACTTCTATACAATTGGACTTTTCTTAGAAATAGCCACTGGCTGGAAATTTAGATTTTTGTATTCCCAGATCCACCTTCAATGAGTAACAATTTGGAAAATTCCACAATAAGCACTACTATAAACCGAGTTCATCATGTGACAGTAATTCTTTAATGTGTAGTTTTGATTTGTATTTGTGAAATACTAAATGTTTTCTTTTTTTTTTCTTTTTTTTTAAAAATACGACTATACGTAGCATCTATTGTTACGAGCTCAGACACTTAGGAGGTAGGACCCAATTGCACGACCTGGGAGACAGAGGTAAAGTATTTGTAAGACACTTTATTTTTTCATGAACAGCAAAAATGAACAACAAAAAACGGTCTCTATCACTCTCTAGCTGAGATGACAAAAAATGGAGAACACAAAT